GTTAATACCAGCGTTATTTATATGGTCACATTTTTATACATGACCTTAATATTCAATGCATATAATGAAACAGCACACGCAAAGGTTACAACATTTCAAAACTATCTCAGTTTCATTGTGCTACCCATCGTTAAAGGACAGTGTACTTGCCCATGAAAACAGAATATTCAATGAGTCTGCAGAATACAGTTACAGGATTATAAGAGCTTACTGTGAAGGCTGACAGTTTCTTCGTCTGTAAAGCAGCCAGACGCAAAACATCCAGGTCTTCGTCATCCTCTGCATGGCTGCTATTCTCATCCTGAGACAGACTCGCTTGTTCAATCTTTGTATCTCCAGATTTCTGTATATGCACAAGTCAGTAATTTATGTTAGCGACATTTATTCTGCCATTCTGGAGTCACAATTTATCAACTGTGGCTATGCTTCAATTAGACGTCTGTCAAATGATGTATTATGTTTGAGCACATGCATAGTTCTGCCCTCTTCTCTGATCATCTCTCCAGCTATGTTTGGAATAATGATTTGACTGATTTTTTTAATCTGATATTCAGATAGCTCTTCATACTTCCAGCTACATATGGACCCAAAAGGTTACATAACCACCCATAACACATAGCCCTCGATGATCACCATCAATGAAACAGCAATATAATGTGCAATTATACAGTTTTAATTGTATTATGTTTAATCATAAACAGCAGAGCAACACACAAAATTCCATATTGTAAGGGTTCATCATTAACTATATTCTGCTAATTCAAAAGCATCTTAATTTCTGTGTGCAATGAAATGCAGGAGTCGAGGACAAAATCTTTACTGTCAACCAATAAATGTTACTCTCATGGTATATTTAAAACATACAATTTCAACATTGAAATTAAATACGCAAAAATAGCTTTTAAATTATTATGAATTGTGATGTACGAATATGTTGAATGTGTCAAGACAATTTCCAAATTGTTTAACCTCAAATGTTCAATGAGCACTGTTATATTTTCAGCAATCTTTATTTATACAGGAGAAATCTGATGTATATTAACTGAAACATTACTGCATTATTACATTCATATTTTTCACAATTCACATGGCATTTGTTTCTTAGACTAATTGTAAGTGTACAAAATATAATCGGTCATGATCTACCCACTGCTGGATGACTTCTGCAAGCAAAACTACATCTCACAGTCCTATTGCATCACTCCGTATTTAAAATGAATGCTCTCTTGGGTATGGTTCCTCACTTGGCTGTGATTACATCCAATCTGTTTGTTAAGAATAAGACTAAATAGAGCTACATCCTACCTCCATGTTAACCATCTTCACTGTGTAATTAGCTTAAAAAATATCTAAGTGTAACTTTAACATGTATCACACCAGTCTTTGTTGAATTTGATGTCAAGCAACATCTCAATCTGGGGTTGGTCAACTAGAAGTAGGGCCGGCAAGTCGATAGCAGAAGAATCGGTTTATAATCCAGTTTACGTTAAGTTTCAAAATCGATTCTATTTCATACAAAATGTACTCTACGCCAACCCCACGATTGATTCAAAATCTTGGAATATAAATATCAATATATTTTTTATTAATTAAAACAAATTATCTTTAATTCAATTGCCATAAATATCCCGAGGTATTAAATGTTACTTGTTACGAATTGTTACGAATCTATTGAGCACTTGATCATTGGCACCATAGAGTTTGTCAATCAGGGGATTCGGGGACAGTGCAATTCAACAACAGCAGGAGCTGTAATTTCAAAAAAATGTCAGCTGTGTCCAGTTGTTTTACGTTTGTTGACGGAATGCATAAGTGAACTTGCATACAACATAACAACATAGCCAATGTGGAAAAAAACCTTGTAATTTTCAATGCGACATAAAAATCGGCATGTATAAATCAAACCCGCAGGTGTACGACTCTCTCCGAGTAGTCCGGGTAAAATTAAAATAAATAATTCACCAAATATCAAATAAAGAAGAACACTGTATCAATATAATTACAATTTCTAATAGAAAACAAGTGTGTTTTATGGACAAAGGGGAAACATTGCACAGATAAAAATGTGATACTGTTCTTCAAGGCTACTATGTAACAGTGACCTGTCAGTAGACAGTGACATGAGTGCTGATTCACGAGTGCTGATTCAAAGATACGCTCAAGACTGAAGGCCAAGCAGATCAACATGATGCTCGTCCTGTACTACGATATGTAGTTGAAGAAGAAATTACTGGTATGTGGTATGAAAACATTTATTGTGTGAATTATAATTATCAATCAAGGTTTAAACAAAATTATAGGTGCAAATTAATTGTTTAGTTTTTAATATAGTAGTTATTTGTGTGTATAATGGCCATTATATATTTGACTAGCAGGTGTACCCGTTCTTTCGCACGGAAATTAATAGTTTAGTCCATCACAAATGTGACGTCACTGCTCACTTGCCATACAATAGATGTTTAGACTTTTTGCATTGTGTACAGTCTGGAAGCTACCCACATGCCAAATTTCAAGTTTGTTGCATGTTGGGAAGTATGCTAAACATTTCTAACAGACACATATATTCACAAATTTCCCTTTTATATATAGAGATAAATACTTTTATTATTTTTTTCAATATATTTACATAGTTATACTCAAGTATTTATAGCCTTCAGGCACAACATATTCAAAACCTTCAGTTAATTTGTATTGTTTATGTATATAGTTAGTTTTTATCACTTAAGTCTTGAATTATTCACGCTGTATTCATCCAGAAAGAATACATTCTAAAACAAAATAACGGTTTTGTAAAAAGTTTGTTTTCTCAGGGGTGGTGGGAAGTTAAATCGGAAACGACATCAGAATAGATTTAATTCACTATAGATCAATAACTTTTTCTCAAATGGACTCCAAAGTGCCCGAACAAATCTTGTAATTCAGTGAATATTACCTATGACCAATTTATTTTTATGAAAGCTGAAAAGTATGCATGGAAAGGGGCACACTTGCCATTACTGAGGCAAAAAAGAACACATGATGAGAAAACAATTGAAAGTTGTTAAATGAAGTGAACTTGGCGGTAACCTAATGACGCAGTTAGTTATAGCCAAAGTAGAAAACATGTTTGAGAGGACATCTACTGCAGGAGATGGGTTAAGAAAAGCCGCTCTTGTACAGGTGCAAGATGGATTGTTACATTGCAAAAATGTAGAGATCGGGAAGACTGGGAGAGGCATTTATCAAGCAGTCAATGGATCATGGCTGCTGATTATTAACAATGTAAACAAATACATTTAAATACATCCCTTTGTCACGGTATACGACCGCTTTGGAATACGTCGAATTTGGTATACGTCGTGTTTTGACGAGAGAAAAAATGTCTTGGGATACGACGTCTTGCTTGGGATACGACGCGCTTGCTAGAACTTATATGGGTCGGGATGAGTCACCGCGTACAGTACCCGCGTACACAATACTGTTACGGCTCTTAACAAGCCGTAACAGTATTGTGTGGAATGACCAGACAATGTCACACTTCAGGAACATTCTTAGAAGGCAAAAACAAACTTCAATGGACAGGTTTTTAGTAAAACTCAAACCTGGTGAGCCTCAACCAGGTCCAAGTCAAGAAAAAAGAAAAAAAACCCATAATTTCAGCTTCCTGAAGTTTTAATGGAAGGGGACTCTCCTTCCAAAAAATAACATCTCCTCCCCTTCCTCGTAGACTATCAACTCCTCTCAACAAGGTAAAGTGATGTTAAATTGTATTTTTATTTCAATTAATTTCAATTTATTATGCATTTATTTTAATGTATGTATGCATTTTAGTAATAAGTAGTGTCTAAATTATTTTATACAACCCCATTAATGTATAATATGCCATATAAAATAGAATTTCTTATACTCTGGAACGGATTATTTCCTTTCCCTTTATTTCTTATGGGAAAAATTAGTTTGGTATACGTCATTTTCGGTATAAGTCCTACCTTCTGGAACAAATTAATGACGCATACCGATGTACCACTGTATATTCTTTTAAAAAGTAACGTGTAATAGAGTGTTCCTGAATTTGCAGCTATAAGCCTTTATCTCCTTATTAAGGAACTTAAACTATTGATGTTCCAAGTAATTGGATTGGTTTGGTGTTATAGCTAGGATACGGCTTGCGTATTTAAATCAAACATGTTTTTGTGAGAATCTTTTACTAGTGGTTTAACAACCAAACAAATGCCTTAATAGGAATATACAAATATGTTTAGCAAATCTTGTAGGGCAGTATTATTGACAAATTCGTTTAATTTCCAACCGAGCTGAGCGTCTTGTAAGCATAAGAGTGGAACACTCATATTCATTAAGGACAAGGCACAAACTTCAGCAACATATACGCTACAACACTCATTAAAACTGTGCCACCTCATAAAGTTCATGAAATTGTAGTTTGTGTAAATGAGTAAACACTGTTTTAATACAGTCTAGTTAAAGCAAACACCATTATCGGTCAAGTGTGATCCAATTCGTGGCTTACAGCTTTGAACGAGGCCAAGACTGCTGATCTCAGTTCTGCCAATTCTGCATCCTGAAATGATAAAAAACAGGTAAATTGGTATTAGAATAAAAAACCACTCGAAAGATAACTGTTGGTCAATCCACTATTCGTGAGCATTTATACCATATGCTGCTGTTATATGAGTAAAAATGTCTCCATGTTCAAATGAGTATTGAGCCGTGTTCATCTTAATTGGCGTGTCCATGACAAAGGAAGGCCCATATTCCTATGACCCGGTTACAGGCTGCCTACAGGATATCCAGTTATCTAAGTCAACCTATGGCACCTGAAGATATTCTTCCAGCGAGCCTTCGACACTTCACGTGGCCTGAAATGTTTACATATCCTGGGACAAGCGCCGTGTTGACGTCCTCGCCACTTAGTGGCGAATGACGGTTGTTGTTTTTATAGGATGCCCACACAGTGCTACGTACTATAAAGTGAATATCTCTATGGCCAAAGGGACGTTCAGCAGTACACACGTTAAAAGGCGGCCCCTGGGGCTTGCGGTTAACATTCCATATTCCCATGAAGGGGGCCGATATATCCTTTGAACGATTAACTTTAACAAAAAAACACTCATCTCGTCCGGCTAGGATGATGGGATGTATGTTCAAGTTCTAAAGTTACGTACGCAGCCAAACGTGCTAATCGAAGGATATACGTTTACACACGTGCACTAACGTACAACACGTGCACTAACGTACAACACGTGCACACACCGAACTTATACACGCAGTTCAAATGGCGATTTAATTCTAAACGCCTTCGCTTGAAGGCCAAAACCCGGGGCGGCTTTCGCTCGCAGCGTTTGTAAAGCAGATTTTTTTAAACTTCTAAATGGCGGTGCAAGAAATGTCTCGGCCCTTGTTCCAAAATCCTAAACCAAAACTCGTACGACAAACGAATTGGATAAAGCGTGCGTGCGTGGAGTCGTAATTCGGTTAACCGTGCGAGTCTGGCGAGGCCTAGTCGAGAGAGGCCTGTGGCGCCACCGTCAACGTACGGACCACACAGCCCCCCCCAGCTTGGCGCCCCCTTGTAGCCAGTGCCGCGTTCAATCGACGTGCATCCATAGCCGCGAAGTAGTAACAACGCCAGCAGAGCTGATCAACACAAACAAACGCCGGTAACAAGAACTCATCCGCAGTTATAACGACACAAAAACGTGCGACGACTCACATCCTCGCTCGCCGCCATCTTGATCCCGACTCTACCACTGAGCTCGGTCTTGAGAGGGGTGTGCGGGGGTGGTTTGCCACGCTAAGATAACAAGAACCGCGTTGTATTTAAACCTTGTGATGCTATTCGGATAACCCATTACATTTGAATGTGCCGTTTAACGACCGGCGTTAAGCGCTGTAACATTCAACGCTTTCGTTACAACGAACGCTTTGTTGAACGTCGCGTGCGCCCCCCTCCGTTAAGGGGGCAAGTGGAACGTGCGCGGGGCTCCCACGTGACCGGCAATGGGGGGGGGAGAAAAAGAAATCTGCGGCAGTGCCAAATTCCCATGCACAGGCCACCACGAATGTCACTTTCTCGACGGTAAATTGGTGTCTGAGCTTATTCCTAATTGATACAATTAGAATTGCGTTTAATAAGCACGACGTAAAAGCCAACAGCATTGTAATGTGTGGGATAAACGTTCCTATGATCACTGCTGTTTCGTTGGTTTTATGGCTTTATTTTGGTGATTTTTGAAAAGTTTTTTGGTTTGGCCATGTTTGTTTGTTGTAGTACAGAGTTAGACTGATGGCCTTAATCTAAGTTGTCTTGTGGTTGTTGTTGTTGTTTGACTTGCATCCCACTGAGATTTTTGCACACAGCGTTGGTGTGCGGTGCCTTTTCTGCAATATTTTGCTGTCTTTTCTTGTATTTTCTGTTTGCACATAGTCACTTTAAGATGTTTTCTTGTTCATGTGTTTTGTTTGTTGCGGTTGCACCCGATTCAAGAGCCGAATGGCTCATAGGGCTTTACCTAATCAATGAAAAAAAAATGAAATGAGAAATGTTTTGGTGACCCTGCCACGAATATCTTTACGCCCCCAGTAATGACGGGCGAGAGAGGCACATGAATCATCAGAGTGCTTGATTAGGGGTCCAACAACAACAACAGCAGCAGGGTCATCATTGCGAAGGGGGAGAAGAATATGCGACAAAATGGGAAGACAGCGATAACCATGATGCTAATTCACTGTCTTGAAGTGATTTATTTTCACGCAACTGACAAAATGCTGGACTCTTCATGTCCTTGGAAGACTTTCAGATTTCTCAGCAGGAGAAAGTGCCATCAAGTGATGGCATGATGATAAGAGGCAAATGGACATAGCAGGGACAGTCTTCTTTTTCTGAATTTCAACACCATCAATTTCAGTATTTACATTGCAGTATGTATTTCACAGGCAGCACAAGTGTGGACATGCATATTTTGTCAAAATAGTAATGCGTTGCTATACCATTTGTATCACTAGGTGGTGCTTTTGAATCTTCATCTCAAAGAGGAAAGCATTGTACTGGTAGGAACCTCCTAGTTACACCAGCCCACAGCGGATTATTGTGTCCGTCCGTCGTGAAGGGAGGGGCTGGGTGGGGAGGGAGCGGCTGGGTGAGGAGGGGAGGGGCTGGGTGGGGAGGGTGGGGCATGGGTGGGTAGGGTGGGGCTGGGTGGGGGGTGGGAGGGGTGGGGCTGGGTGGGGAGGGGCTGGGTGGGGAGGGGCTGGTCACCCCGTGGTGCCCTTATAAAACTCAACGTTTAACCTACTCACGCCTGCTTGTGCCCGCCCTCACAGTCGGGCATATTTGCGGAATACACCACGCCGCCGTTGACCCTTGCTATTGACCGAGCAACCCAATGTTCCTACCAGCTCCCTCCGCAGGAATGTGTTCATTAAATGGGTGGGCGGGGGGGGGGCACAGGTCTGCCCACACATGTCGACCGAGTGATTATACAGGAATTGTGAAATAGCCGAAGTCAATTCCTCAACATGAATCATCTTTGGCTTTATGTCTGCGGTTTGTCCTTGCAAAAGGATTCCTGTGAGATCAGCGGTCCCCAACCCCCGGGCCGCAGACCGGTACCGGTCCGTGGCCTGTTAGGAACCAGGCCACACAGCAGCAGAAATTGAGCAGTGAGTCCGCACGTGGCCCGCCACCATTATTTTATTATTCACCACTTCCGTCCGCGCCTCTTTCCCGCACTGCGCACTTGTCTCACTCACAGTTTTGGTGAGCCCACAAGCTAACCCCTAGCCACAATGAGTAAAAAACAAACGTCACTGCAGAGCTTCTTTGAAAAGTGGGAAAGACCCAATGATGACCCCCCCCCCCCCACCGGTCCGTGGAAAAAATTGTCTTCCACGAAACCGGTCCCTGGTGCCAAAAAGGTTGGGGACCGCTAGATGAATTCCAAGAGGACGGTGCATGTCCGTCTAGAACTGTTAAAGCGTAACCTACAGAATCTTCATATGCCATTGAGGGCATTTAATTGTGAACTCGACACGTGTACAAAAACTAAACATACTGAAAGCATGATTCATGCAGTCACGAAAGCTTCAAATCAATACTGAAAGCAACATACAGTATTGTACTTCTAAAGCATCACAAGGAAAAAAAAACTATATATAGCCGTGAAAATATTTTTAAATTTAAAGAGGAAATTCTGTTCTCTATAAAGTCTAAGTTTATATGGCTTAGGACCACTTTACTGAAGTTTAAAGTAGAGAAATACTGCACAGTAATACGTAACAGCTCAGTTCAATGCTATTTTAAGCAGTTTTACAATTGTTTAAACGCTGCATATCAAGCCACTACTTTGATGTTTTATTGTTAGGTATTAAAAACAAAACAATATGAACGATTAACAGCATTCTTTTCGTATTTCGGTAAAGTTACGTAGATAGGTTCAAAGAAAAAAACAAAAAAAACGACATCAGCCAGATGACGACAGCTTGCGTTGCGATCGAAACGTAGTTTTGTGTTATTTTTGTTATTTTCATTTAGCCTATCTACGTGACTTTACCGAAAGACCCAAAGAATATGAATTCCTGCAGTCACGAAAGCTTTAAGTCAAGATTTACTTTGCAGTAATAGTTATTGCACTTTGAGTTGAAGCAGATCTTGTCAATTGCCTATTACCACACATGGAGAAACAAACTGGGATTGTACTAATGACAACTGGTGTAAAACATCAATAAGGAAAACTAAAGTTCAGTGCAAATATTCCCTGCACTGTATAAAAAAATACTTGCTGAAATAAAACCGTATAAATTGGCATTTCATGGAATGAGGTCAAGGACGTTACATAGCAAGAAATCGTGTGGGCGTAAGTATCAGTAGTACAATACTGCACTATGTTGTACATCGTATTTAATTTTTCTGTTAGCCGTATAAACATCACTGTATACAATAGGGACCCTTCAGCACCATCTGGCTGGACTTTACCCTACTTTAAAACACCATTTGCCCTTTTAGAACTGATTCATTGCGGTGCATAGGCTACAATTTTAAACACAGGGCAGTCAAATACTGTAATGCTCATAATGTATGTCAGCAGAACATCACACCCATTACTTTGATGTGCATGATAATTTTTTTGTAAGATTTTCAATACACTACTAAGATATAATAGTAATTTGTTGATCATAAATACACAGTAATGAACTATAACGACAAGCGAACACTGGGGTGGTACAACATAACTCCTCTTATCTGCGGTAATGTGAGTAACGGACATCCAATCATCACGATATTATCCGCGAGAAAAGAAATTGGATAGCAAGAGTTTTCACAGACCCTTTAGCTCCTGTGGACAACAGAAACAGGTTAATAGGCTCCGGGATAGTACAAATTTAGCTATACTGTTCAAACGAAACTAAGCTACATTATTGCATGAATAAAGCTAACAGGGGACACACAACTATGAGAACACCATGGGTCAAGATGCCAATCACCACGCTCACCACCGCCCCACCAAAATATGAAGACACCTTTTGCCTGAATTCTAGATTTGAAGCTTTCGTGACTGCAAGGATTCATATTCTTAGGTGTTTTCGGGTAAAGTCACGTAGGTAAAACATTAAAATTAATAAAAATAAAATAAAAATCACGACGTTTCGGAGGCAACACAAGTCTCCGTCATCAGGTGGGACCGTCACAGCCAGCAGCAAATTTTAATGTTTTACCTACGTGACTTTACCGAAAACACCTAAGAATAAGAACCTTTTGCCTGCCCTGGTCTCTGAACATCACTGGGGACAGAGGCATGCGCAGAACTTTAAATGCTTCACATTAGCATACGGTATTTTGCATTACATTCCACTGATTCACGTGGATTGAATTTTAAGTATTTCTCTGGTGGGTTCGTGCGGTGGAGTATTAAGTCTCGCAAGCAGTGATGACTGCTTCAACTATTTTTTTCAACTTAATCAACCACAGTTTACTACCCACTACGTTGTCTGCGTACATTCTTGTTTTTCCTTGTCAACAGTTTGCTTTTAGGTGACATGATGATCATTTTTCGATTCATATTCTTGTTTTTTTCGGTAAAGTCACGTAGAATGGAAATAATAAAATGAAAAAAAAATAAAACTATAAAATTCTCACGACGTTTCGATTGCAACACAAGCAATCATCAGGTGTGAAAACCTGCGGTCATCAGGTGTGAAAACCTGTGGTTTGATTGCTTGTGTTGCAATCGAAACGTCGTGAGAATTTAATAGTTTTATTTGTATTATTGTATTATTTCCCTTCTACGTCACTTTACCGAAAGAACCAATAATATGATGATCGTTGTGTAATTAATACATTGAACTATAATTAATCCCTTGAGAGACACGTGATCGTCAGCCCTAAACTACTTGGTTAACGAGAGAACATGTTCACACTTGGCCTTATATTAAGTCTGATTCATGATGTTAAATTGCTTTTAATAAAATTACGTTATCCCAGTTTGAGCCGATACAACACAATAGAAAGATTGTATGCTGCATGTGACATATTTATACTGTGCTGTATATTTGATTTTCTGTCATTTCAATTATTTTGTTGAACACTTCCATTGTCATTTAACTTTATTGGTTTTTCGACCATTGAGATGGTCTAATGCACGGTGCTGTTGTATTGCTCTAATACAACTAATGTACTGTACAGTAATGCAACATGCCACCGTTACATATTGCAAATCAGCTCTAAAGTAAACAGATGTGATATATGTCGTTCACAAATAAAAACGTGTTCATCAGGCACCAGAATTTATTGCACAGTAGTAAATGGGAGATACACAGGCCACCACGTGGGCATACTGATGTAACCGTCTATGGTGCCAAATCAGGATGTTTGCTGCAGGGCATAAATTGACGCAGTTTTAAACTGAGTGAAGACACAAACATGACCTGTAGGATGCCAGCTGATGAGGCCAAGCTATACTTCACATGTTTTCCAGCTACATACATTGGTCAGCTACCATATTTCCCAAGTGACTAATAGGCCACCTCAGCCTACCTGCAAGATTGTGCTTGTTTAGCAGCTGGGTTGGAGCAGCCTGTGACCAGTCTCACAAATTACTATAATAGGTCACTCACAGTAAATCGCATTAGTTGGGTAAAATCAACAAATCTATATGCTGTACTGTAGTTATCTTGGGAAGTTGTCTGAAGGTTACTTAATATTGGCTTTTTAAACAGTGTCCTAACCACACCTAATTAAATTCTACTGCTGATAATAAACATGCTGGATTAACTTTTGTAAGGTACTGCATTTTCAAACGACAATATATTGTACTGAGTTCTCCCTTCAACCTTTGCCTCTGACAAATGTTGACCATATACAGTACAGTAAAGTAATACAACAAGAACTATTGTAATAAAACAATAACGCTTGTCTATTATTCGCGAAAGCCAATGTTTTTGTAAAACTCCTTTTATCAGCGGCTATATTACGATTGTCCTTAACTGTAATTTTTTTCGCATGACAAATAAGTGAAGTATAAAGCACGCAGATCTCCGATATTGCCACCCTAAAGTATCATTGATTTTTCCTTTACCTACATTTATGAAATCAGGTATGCGATACCTTACTTTAATACGCATTGGTTTGCATAATCACCCATGTTTTATTCATTTAAAAGATGTACATGCAGTGGCAGACTTTATGTAAGCTGAAGTAGGTACTGCCTATTGAAAACTGCACTCTTAATTGTCAAGACAATTTACTATAGTATTTTGCAGTAGAGTATTGGTGAATGAAGTACTTTGTTACATTCTGTATTTCTCATGTTTTTTTTTGTTAAACTTTACACTTTTGGCTTAAGCAACTTTCCAAAAGTAAAACCAATAATAACTCTAAATCAATTAGATGTCTCTTCATATTGAAACGTTATGTAAAAGCATTCAAAAATATATCCACACATAAGATGGATTAAAAACCTCTTATTATTCAGTATCACTGCTTTATTACTATACGCGATTAGTCATAATTGTATTGAGGATATATAAGTACAGTGCACAGGTTCCTGGCCTGTTTGCAGAATCTGAGAGTTTCTATATTGACTGGGGACTTTCATCCTATTTGCTCCCACATGCATAACTATCATTAAATTATTGGCTATATTTTTCAGTGCAGCAATACAGTATATTAATACTTAACCATGCAATCGGAAGTGTGGCAGTTCAAATGCCAGTAAGCTTCAACTCACTCAGCATTTCATTTCACGAGGGTGCATACAATAAAGATCGAAGTCAACCGTGTGCATCCCGTGGAGAGGAGCTCACACCAAGCAAATGTGACATTTTTTACCAGTGTCCCAGGACCACCATTGGCGATGGGTGCCACCTAAATAACTCATTTAATTAGGGAGACACTTTCAGTCTCAGAAAATTGAAGTTCAAGAGTTGAACTTTCAGTTCCTGAAAGCTGAGTGAATTAATAAACTCTCAGCGCATTGATGGTACAAACGCCGGACATCATGCAGAGCTACGCGCAGTACAATCTGAAAACACTATACAATACACTAAACACTACTATAGACTACTATAAACTACACTATACACTAATATACACTAAACTATGCACTACTATAAACTACACTATACACTACTATACACTAAACTATGCACTACTATAAACTACACTATACACTACACGACTATAAAATACACTATACACTACTATAAACTACAATACACTACTATACACTACACATATCCACTCCTATACACTATACACTACTATACACTACACTATAAACTACAATACACTACTATACACTACACTATACACTACAATACACTACTATACACTCCACTATACACTACTATACACTACACTATACACTCCTATACACTACACTATACACTCCTATACACTACACTATACACTCCTATACACTACACTATACACTACTTACTATACACTCCACTATTATACACTATACACTACACTATCCACTCCTATACACTACACTATACACTACACTATCCACTCCTATACACTACACTATACACTACACTATCCACTCCTATACACTACACTATACACTACACTATCCACTCCTATACACTACACTATACACTACACTACACTATACACTACACTATACACTACACTATACACTACACTATACACTACACTATTCACTCCTATACACTACACTATTATACACTATACACTCCTATACACTACACTATACACTACTATACACTACACTATCCACTCCTATACACTACACTATACACTACACACTACTATACACTCCACTATACACTACACTATCCACTCCTATACCTACACTACACACTACTATACACTACACTATACACTACACTATACACTACACTATCCACTCCTATACACTACACTATACACTACTATACACTCCACTATTATACACTACACTATCCACTCCTATACACTACACTATACACTCCTATACACTACACTATACACTACACTATCCACTCCTATACACTACACTATACACTACACTATACACTACACTAGACACTACACTAGACACTCCTATACACTACACTATACACTACACTATACACGGACTCGAGCTCGTCCAGGGGGAACTCCCAGGCGTTCCCCGGCCAGCCGAGCGACATCGTCCCGCCAGCAGCAGCAGCAGCTCGTGGCCTGGGCCGGGCCCGGGGTCTTCTCCCCGAGTTCCAGGGGGAAGTCTGCCGGGGGAAGGGGGGGGGTCCCTGACGATTTCGAATAATTATCACCGACCGGATACGAATCGATTAATCGATTCTCGCAACCGGATACGAATCGATTAGTGGGCCCGCCCCCCACCCCTTCAGCGGGCCCCGCCCCCGGATGAGCGCGACGGCCGCGCAGAACAAAGCGGTGGCAGCAGCAGCAGCAGCCCCAAGCCACCCCCAACCAAAAGCGAACCCCCTTTTATGTTTACCCGGCGCTTCGTTTCGTTTTAAAGACAAAAAAACAAGGAAAGATAAACGACGGTGCGATTCATGGAGCGAGGAGCGTCCTCGCTGGCCGCCTACGTTGTTTTTGTTGTTGTTGTTGCTGCTGCTGCTCCGAGTAGGGCGCGATTATATTTTTTGTAACAAGAGGCTACGGAGAGGCGGACACTGTAATTGTTTATTCGTGTTTCGCTCCGTTGTATTATAGTGAGGCCTTTTTTTTTAAAGAGCTGTTTCGTTAGTATTACTTGAATTTATCGTAGTTTATTTTTTTTGTTCAACGTTTACTTAATCGTCTTTTTTTTTGTTCCACCACGAAGTGTTTCTCCGCTGGGACAGGGCGCGCTGTTTACCGCGCACAACGGGGACTGCTCGGGCCAAAGCCGGCGATGAGACTAGGCGAGACCGAGGCTTTGTTCGTATACCGACAAACCAGCTAGGCCGCACCGTCCGCGCTTGTTCGCTAAACACTGACATAATACATAGGCAGAAAACTTCGCACGTCTCTACACAAACATTGAATCCAGTCGGGAGCAAGGAAACGTAGCGGACAAAGTCTCCGCTGCCCTCGGTTAGAGCAGCAGTAAGTGTGCAGTATAATGCCTCGGCAGGCGAGCCATGGGGGCCAGTATTACTACAGAGCGTACCGGGGCCCCGAGGTGAGCTGCTGGACCAAGTACTTCTTGTTCGGCTTCAACATCATCTTCTGGGTACGTGCCATGTTGGTAATTTGTGTGTTTTTTCTCTCTCCAATCGGTGCTCCCGAGGCTTTTGACCATCGTGCGTTGAGTGGTGTGAATGGTGTCTGTGCGCCGAGGCCATCGTGAATGTTGATGGTTGGGCCATAATCACCGTCGTGTTATTCAACATCGTCTCAATTGTCGGCCGCCGTCAATCCCACTGCTAAACGACGAAGGGCTTCTCATGCCGCCCGATCTTTACGCGTTGAGATTCCAACCAGAACTGGCACAAGAGCTGATTCCATCGCTCCATCTCCTCGGTGACACGTCCATGCCTTTGCCTTGCTACTCTGTCGTACTTGACCACAGTCCAACATCGTTCCCAAGTCTCCCCCCCACCTACTTAACAGTTTTAATAATGTATTTAGCCTAAGTCTCTACTAATTCGCATGTTCCTCTTTTTTTTGTCTCTAAATGCAATTAGCACTTTTGAGTCACAGCAGATAGACCAATTTTAGGGTGAAATGAGGTGTACATTTATAACTTTGTAGGTGTACATTTATAACTTTATACACAGATTCAATATATTGTTATCCCCATACACTCAAGCAACTATGTATGCTACGGTATCGTTTATACTTCCTGCCACGTGCTCGGCATGTGCATAGTGTACCATACGTTACTGTATACGTGTACAGTATATGTTTAAGGCTGTAACAGTGCATGTGCAACAAGCTCTGTAGTACATACTGTGTACAAGTTATGCCCATATTGTAGTGTATACTATTGTCTGTACTGTTTGTGAACAGCCCGCTTCAATAATGCTAACAGTTAACGATGTAGTTATACTTGGCATACGTGTTAAACGATGCCGTAATTATGTTTTTTTGTATATGTGCTTCATGTAAACTGTGTCCGACGTGTTTAAATGTTTGTATAGGCTGCTACAAATTCTAGCACGTCAGTGTTTGCGTGAGACTTTGATTCGGCGGTAGATTGTTGACCATGTGCGCACAAACGGTGCTGCTATCTGTCTGCTGTATGGTATGGAGGACTCTACATTGATTCTGCACATTCATTTGGAAATATACTGTGTTCTGCTTTTATTTTACGGTGGGGGGGGGTTATCGCCACTGTTTTAATGCATTTCCATGTGATGGAATCATAAGTGAACTTAAAGCTTTCGTGACTGCAGGAATTCATATTCTTTGGGTCTTTCGGTAAAGTCACGTAGATAGGTTCAGAAAAATTACAAAAAACTACGACGTTTCGATCTCCATCACCTGATGTAATTTTTTTGAACCTATCTATGTGACTTTACCGAAAGACCCAAAGAAGATAAGGGAGTCTTTATTAAATCCGCTGCTGTTTCAAGGCCTCTCCACACCGTGTCGATCATGGAAAGTTTTGACCACACTTAACGCTTCCCGGTGCATAACATTTTGTTTTAAATCTGTAACTGGTAACATAACACGGTGGACACACATGTTCGTATCATTCACAGCAACGTGCTAGAAGCAGTTCGTTTTGTGTATCGCTGCATAGAACAATCCGACTATAAACAACCCCATTTATTACAAACGCTCTTACGTAATTGGTGCATCGTTTTCAATGCCATAATCAAGAACGAAATCATGGGGGGGGGAAGGGATAAATGGTATGCATTAACATGTATCATTTGCAGAAGATGTTAGGCAATGGGGTACGGGTTAACCGTGTTCAACCTGAAAGTTTACGCACTGTAATAATACACGTTTTGTTATTTAGAGCAACAAACGTGATGTCATGCTAAAATTTCCGTACGGTATTGATTTAATGTTTTTTGTTTTCCTCTGACCGTAAAGCATGCGTGGTAGATTTGCATAAATATTTAATGCATTTTTAAACGTAGACCATTTAAAAGACGAATAAGTGGGTCTGCAAACATGTATATACAGTAGTACTGCTTGCTAGAATTGTACTGTAAATGCATCAGTGGTTTGCCCGTGATAATTGGCCTTCAAACGCTGAAGTCTTGTTTGGGCTCTTACCTTCAACAAAACTTAGTACAGTATTAGTTTACCACTGTTTAAAAAGCGTATTGTTAAACCAACATGCAATGACGAAAAGGGTGGGTGGGGAAGCTTTAGCTGGGAGAGTAATTTAGTATAGTGACACTGTTTTAACGAAGGATGCTGCTCACACAATGGTTGTGATTCGCTGACAACGAACACTAGTCCGTGAAATGTGTTGAAACACGTCAAAGATGGTTAAAGACCTCTGACATGAAAACTGCAGATACATCTTAATTGTGGGTGTGTAAACATAGTTTCCCAACCTGCTGAAACCCTTACGACTAGCATTGATGAGTGCCAATTGTACCTTCAAATAGATCGACCTACTGACGGTGTTAGCATGAGCTACCATTTGCGTTGTTGCCATATCCATGGACTTTCATGAACGTTACTGAGTTGCCCCCTTTTTAAAATCCTTTATATTAAGTTCGCTTGCTTGCTTGCGTGCTTGCTTGCTTACGACCGTGCAAATCTTTCGGTCGTTTTTTAACCCACTTCCCGTGATCCAATCGAGCTGACATTTTGCACACAGACTCGTTGTGCGAGACAATTAATGTTCGTGTAAAATTTTTTCCAAAATTTTACACTGTTTAGGGAAAACAAATTAAATATTTAATTACCAATTGCTTAATACTGGCAGACAATCATCTGACCCATAGGTGGCAGCCATCTCAAGCCAGAGGACGAGAGGACTCTAGCCGCCACGCATATAAAGGATTTATAATAAAAAACTTTGTTTTTACGGGTTATACTTATTGTGATGTCAATGTCGGAGGTGGGGAGGCGCCTTTTGTGAACATGGAGACCGATCAGCTGCACATTGAGACTGCTTACCTTTCCTCCCCCTGCCGTCTTGGGCACACATGAGCACGGCAGGGGAGAGGCTGCCTAAAAACTAAACTAAAGCAGTGGAACCCCAGGGAAAACAAAGGAAACAGCATGCATCAATGACTAGTGTTTTTTTTTGCTACACTGTTTACTGTTATACAGACTATTGTTTAGATAAAAAAGAATCATGGGATGCTTTTGTATGCCCCACACAATTGGAGTGTTCACAATCGGCCTCTTTATTGCAACCGTATTCATGGGAAGATTTAGAAGTTCTTCATTCTGTTATATCGTGATTTTTCTAAATCGCATTTCTAGAAATGTACAAAAATAACAAGCTATGTGTTGAAATGGAATTGTTTTAATTAAATACAAGTAGCGGATCAGGGTTGTATGTGTCATAAGTTACGTGACAACTTTTTTCCCAAACGCATTTAATCAAGGCACAAAAGCAGGCCACTTGTGCCCTGCTGTCGTTTGAACATTCATGCAGTGTATTAAGGTGACATCGCTGTTCGCGCTGTATGCTTCCTAGAAAATGTAGTGATCAGATGCATGTTGTATATCAAGGAAAGTGCATACCATGCATATTGTGATGGTGCAGCCAGACGGAGATGTTGGAAGTCATAATTGCCACGTTAAAAGTTTAATGCTTAAGCCGGGATTAAGCATTTATTCCAGTGTCATATTTTTCGCAGGTGTGGCATCAATTTGTTTTTGGCAGTCTGCCCATGCCTGTGGAGAGTTTCCATGACATTGCTTCAAAATGGTGTATTGTGGGAAAGTAGAGCACAACTAATGTATTGGAGTAAATGAGCATGCCACCGTCCATTCTTTGATGCCGTGTTCATGCTTTGGCACGGCGGAGAGGCGTGCAAAATGTGTGAAGCTTAGATAGAGCAGCAAAGTGCCGCTCAAGTTGCTGTGCCACAAGACTTTGGCCCATATTGAGGGAATGTCGTTATCCTGCCAAATTCCACACCGAAACATTGTTTTGCCACAATATTGAAATTAACATTAATGCCTGAACTATCTAAACTGCTACTATTCAAGGTGTGGCTTTGTTGTGGAAATTTTTACTTAAGCAGAAGGTAATTTGTACACTGTAACGAAGAACTTTCAACGTCTGTGTAATGTCATTTGCGACATGCTGCTGCTCCCTTGGTATGAAGTGTGCTACAAACAGTAACCCCGCATTGACTCACAGTCTGAACCCCCTGAGCATTTTATGGTGGTGTATGTTGGCCCAGCTTATGAGGAACTATCTCTAGTATATAATTACAATCACTCCCCCCTTGAATCTTTGCACCTGATGAGTTAATGATGACGTCACCCTGCTGCTGCTCTATATAAGAACGGGAGACAGCAGAGCCTCACCATTCTGGCGAATTGCCCGATGATGCTGGATGCAATTACCAGCGAAACGTCGTACTCAAATTGTAAATGTTGTGGCTTCAACACACCAGTGGGCTAAAGCAGTGAACTATTTGTCTTTTGTCAACGTGACACTTTTTTACTGATTGGCCATGTCGGGTGGTGGAGGGTTACGACACATTTATAAATAACGCGATCTAAACCCAAAAACGTTGATTATGAATATCTCTAAGAACTCGACGCATGGGAGGGGGTGACACAATGTCCAGTATATGTTTTGCGGTACTGTGCCCCTTTCAAGGAGAGGATGAGTGCATTGCAAAAACAATGTGGTTTGATTATTTCTCATGGTGCTACATCAAGTGCCTCCTGCGCTGTACCCACTTAGTTGCGTACAGTATTTGATGAGTTATCACGCAATACTCAATTTTATATCTGGCTGAACAAAAAAATCAATAAACTTTCTATGGAAGTGGTAGAAGGTCCCCCCCCCCCCCCCCATTACATCTCCCAACCTTTTTTCAGCCAACACAAAAGCATATGGTAGCTTATATCTGGTATTGGTTATCTGCAGTTTAGGACACGTACGAATTGTCTTTAAAAAAACTGGAGACAATTCTTCGTGATGTTCACGTGAACTTCTGGTCTGGTGGAATACGTAGGCAAATGCAACTTATTTCACAAGTGTTTTGAATATTTAATTTAAGGCAAGTATCTGCTTTAAAATGTCGTTTGATGTTATTTTTGTTAAATATAAATGTTGGCACTATAGTT